GTGTTTATGTCAAATGATGCCTTGTTTCTTAGCATCTTCATATGCTTCTCCCACAATTTCTTTCCAAAACCAATGCTCCCTCCAAACTTTGTCCATCTGCTCAATCGGCACATTCTTAGTCTCTGGCAACAGGAAGTAGACAAATGCAGTCATCACAATCACCCATCCTCCAAAAAAGAAGAAAATCCCCGATTTGAAATGGCAAAGCATAGTTAGAAATGTCTGTGCAACAATGAAAGTGAAGAGAAAGCTCACTGCCACAACAATACTCTGCCCAGCAGATCGTATCTCCAGAGGAAAAATCTCACTAGGAACCAACCACCCCAACGGCCCCCAAGACCAACCAAACCCAGCAACATATACTGATATCAATACTATGACCAAATAAGCATACCCTCTGCTCACTGCACTATGATCCCCTAGCTGAGCTGCCAAGATTCCTCCAACCATTACTTGTGACACAAGCATCTGGATCCCCCCTCCTATGAACAAAGCTTTTCGGCCAAGTTTATCCACTATAAGCATTGATATGAATGTAGAGCCTGTTCCAATGACACCAGTCACAACAGAGGACATGAGGGAGGCACTTTCACCCATTCCAATCGTCCTGAACAGTAATGGAGCATAGAATGCTATGACATTGATTCCTGTAACTTGTTGAAAAAAGGGTATGGCTATTGCCATCACTAGCTGAGGCCTATATTTTCTCTGTATTATTTTCTTGAAAGGATGCTTGATGGTTTTCGAGACTGAACTTGCTCTAATCAGATCTTCAAGTTCTGCATCAACATTGCTTGTGCCCCGTATTCTTTGTAGCATTGCTTTGGCCCTGTTTTGATCATCACTGTTCTGGATTATGCTGTTGGGAGTTTCAGGGAGAAACAGTGCACCTAGTGTTAGGATTGATGCTGGGGCTGCAGCCATTGCCAGAGAAATCCTCCAGCCCCACCCACCTTTGATCTTTTCTGTTCCAAAATTGATAAGGTTGGCTACAAGTGCTCCTATTCCTACACTAAATTGGAACCCATTGTTTATTGCTCCCCTGTATCTTGGAGGTGCCATTTCAGATAGATATAAAGGTACCGACTGCATAGCAAATGAATTGAAGAAAATGTTTTAATATTATACCTTTAATTTGTAACAACTACATATTATAAAGCCTAATATTTAAAATTTTGCAGGGAACTACTGATGAAGCTGAAGTACCTGGTTTGCAAATCCAACCCCAATACCAAGTAAGATACGACCAAATATCAGCATATAGACATTGAAAGCTGCACCACCAAGGGCTGCACCAGCAAGGAATGCAGCACCTCCAGCAAGGATAGATGGCTTACGACCAAATGCTTTAGTGACAAAAGACGCAAAGAAGCTGGCAACAAGGCCAGCTAAGTATAGGGAAGATGTGAATAAGGTTAAGAGTTGGTTATCAAATTTGCAGTAGTTGCTGATCTTGGTATCTTCCTTCATCTTTGTGTACGCCTCTGGGAAGAATTTCTTCAGAAACGGCTCCATGGATGTCACTCCACCTTTAACAACATAATTTCCTTTAGAACCTTAATAGTATAGTTTATTTTGGAATTCCCACATATCAAAGCTTCATGGAGATGATATTATAAGGGGAGATAATAGATAGATTACCTGAGATTCCAATGTCATAGCCAAAGATGACTCCTCCCATGGCAGCCATCATACATGAAAGTACAACAAACCAAGTCATCCTCCCATTGTACTGCCCTGAAGCTTCACTGGACACAGCTAGCCCTGTCGCCATAACTCAGTCCTTCAAGCTCGCATACACAAGAAAGAGAAGAGGGCAGAGTTTGAAGTTGGTTTTTCGGTTAAGAAGATCAGTATTCCCTTTTCCAGTAGAGATCAAAGAAAATTCCAAATAAAACAGCTAAGCTTTGAAAAAACAATGCGCATGATGCATGCAGGACCCAGTGACAAAAGGTAAGAATGCCAAAAGTACAAAAGGGGGAATGCCAAACAAATAAAAGTCAGACTGAATCCCTCAATTATTGGGTTTAGAATATGTGTTTAAATAGCAACTGTGCTTCAGAATATGTGTGTTCAATAATAATAATAATTATTATTATTTTTGGGTATATGACAATGAGTTATAAGGCATGAATTTGCTTCCTTTTTTTTTTTTTTTTAAATTT